AGAATTCCGTATAACAGGCGATAATCCCGTTCCTGTTACCCACCACGACGCCTGCCATGCTTGATCCAGCCCTGCTCCGCCACCAGCCCGCCGACCTCGCCGAACGCCTGCGCACCAGCCGCGGCTTCGAGCTCGACGTGTCTGCCCTGGAGTCACTGGAGGCGGATCGCAAGCGCATCCAGGTGCGTACCCAGGAGCTGCAGAGCCTGCGCAACAGCCGCTCCAAGGCCATCGGCCAGGCCAAGGCCAAGGGCGAGGACGTTTCGGCCATCATGGCCGAGGTGGCCGCCTTCGCCGATGAGCTGAAGGCCTCGGAAGTGGCCCTGGACGAGCTGCGCGAGAAGATCGACACGATCTCGATGGGCATCCCGAACATTCCCGCCGATGACGTGCCGGCCGGCGCCGACGAGAGCGAGAACGTCGAGCAGTCGCGCTGGGGTACCCCGCGCCAGTTCGATTTCAAGGTGCTCGACCACGTCGAACTGGGCGCGCGCAACAAGTGGCTGGACGGCGAGACCGCTGCCAAGCTGTCCGGCTCGCGCTTCACCGTGTTGCGTGGCCCGATCGCGCGCCTGCACCGTGCCCTGGCCCAGTTCATGCTCGACCTGCACAGCGGCGAGCACGAGTACCAGGAAACCAACGTGCCGGTGATCGTCAACGCCGACAGCCTGTACGGCACCGGCCAGCTGCCCAAGTTCGAAGAGGACATGTTCATCACCCAGCTGGGTGAGCAGAAGCGTTACCTCATCTCGACCTCGGAAATCTCGCTGACCAACATCGCCCGCGACGAGATCCTCGACGCCGAGCGCCTGCCGCTGCGCATGACCGCCCATTCGCTGTGCTTCCGTTCCGAAGCCGGCAGCGGCGGCCGCGACGTGCGCGGCATGATCCGCCAGCACCAGTTCGAGAAGGTCGAGCTGGTCTCGATCTGCCGTCCGGAAGACAGCGACGCCGAGCACCAGCGCATGACCCGCTGTGCCGAAGTAGTGCTGGAAAAGCTGGGCCTGCCGTACCGCAAGGTGCTGCTGTGCACCGGCGACATGGGCTTCTCGGCCATCAAGACCTACGACCTGGAAGTCTGGCTGCCGTCGCAGGAAACCTACCGCGAGATTTCCTCGTGTTCGAACTGTGGCGACTTCCAGGCCCGCCGCATGCAGGCCCGCTGGCGCAACCCGGCCACCGGCAAGCCGGAGCTGGCACATACGCTGAACGGTTCGGGCGTGGCCGTCGGCCGCGCGATGATCGCGGTGATGGAGAACTACCAGAACGCCGACGGCAGCATCACCGTGCCCGAAGCCCTGCGCCCGTACATGGGCGGTATCGAAACCATCGGCTGAATCCGGTAGGTGCCATGCCTGCATGGCACTGCTCTGGCTTTGGTGGGTGCCATGCTTGCATGGCACCGCATCCACGCATGGCGCGGATCTACTGATGCGGTGCGGCATCCACGCATGGCGTGGATCTATTGTGCGGTGCTGCATCCATGCGCTGAGGGGGCTGGGGCTTTGCAGTAGATCCACGCCATGCGTGGATAGCGCAATCCATCAGCCCGCCAAGCGCAGCTTCTCCAGCGGCACCCAGCCCGCTTCCCCACTCTCCGGCACACACCACGCCCAACCATTGAGCGTGCGCACCCCGCGCAGCTGCTGCCCCGGGTCCACATCCAGCTCCCGCGCGCAGTAGTCCTCCGTGGCAAACGCACCCCCCAGCGCATCGCGACCGATCACCGGCGCCGGTACGAACCCGGGCTGTTGCCCCTCGGCCTCGCATAGAAACCAGTCCTCCCAACCCTCGGGCCCCTCATAACGCTCGCCCACCACCAGCGCCTGCCCACGGTGCAGGGTAATCGGGTGCGGAAATTCGCTGCGATGCACAGCCGTCACGATGTAGTCCATCGCCTCATGCTGGCAAAAAAAACGGCCCCGCAAAAGCAGGGCCGCCAGGGTGGGCCGGGATGGGGGAGGGAATCCCGGCCCGCGTTCAACGCCCAGACGAGGGAGAGAGGCGCCGAACGCTGGAACGCGTTACGCCGCTGCCACTTCCGCCATCTCATGCGACGGCAGCGCTGCCAGTGCACCGGCAATGGCGTCTTCGCGATGCTGCGGCGAATAGGCGATGCCCTCGGCACGCACGAACTCGATGTCGTTGATGCCCCAGAAGGCAAACGTCTGGCGCAGGAAGGGCTCCTGGAAGTCCGCCGGCGAATCGGTGTAGATGCCGCCACGGCTGCTGACCACGATCACCCGCTTGCCACCGGCCAGGCCCACCGGGCCGTTCTCGGTGTACTTGAAGGTGCGCCCGGCCACCGCCACGCGGTCGATCCAAGCCTTCAGGGTGGAGGGCACGCTGAAGTTGTACATCGGCGCACCGATCACCACGATGTCGGCAGCCAGGAACTGCTCGAGCACCTGTTCAGCATCAGCGGCCTCGGCCGGATCGGTCTTGGCCAGCGAACCACTACGCAGATGCGGTACCGGATTGGCGTCAAGATCGCGATAATCGACCTGCAGGCCGTCGATCTGCTGCTTGAACTGGGCCACCACGGCGGCGGTCAGGTGGCGGGAGACGGAGTTGTCGCCAAGCACGCTGGCGTCGATGTGCAGAAGCTTCATGGCAGTACCTATGTTCGGGAGAGGTGGCGGGCTTGCCGCCGACGGAGAGAACAATAGGTTGTTGCAAGGGCGGGATAAAGGTGGTTGAATGCCACGTATTGTTCTACTAATGGAACTAGGGTATGCATGACCTGAATGATCTGTACTACTTCGCGATGGTGGTTGACCACGGCGGTTTCGCCGCCGCCGAGCGCGCACTGGGCATCCCCAAGTCGCGCCTGAGCCGCCGTATCAGCCAGCTGGAAACCGACCTGGGCGTGCGCCTGCTGCAGCGCTCCACGCGCCGCTTTGCCGTCACCGATGTCGGTACCAGCGTGCACCGCCACGCCCAGACCATGCTGGCCGAGGCGCAGGCCGCGCGCGAGGTGGTGGACCGCCTCAGCGCCGAGCCACGCGGCCTGGTACGCGCCAGCGTGCCGGTATCGCTGGCGCAGATGCAGCTGCCCAAGCTGCTGCCCAAGTTCCTCGAGCAGTACCCGAAGGTGCGGCTGCAGCTGAACATCAGCAACCGTCGCGTGGACATCATCAACGAAGGCTACGACGTGGCCCTGCGCGTGCGTTCGCGCCTGGACGACGACGGCAGTCTGGTGATGCGCAGCTTTGGCCAGGTGCAGGAACTGCTGGTGGCCAGCCCGAAGTACCTGGACCGCGCCGGCCGCCCGAAGGACCCGGAAGAACTGGCAAACCACGTCACCTTGAGCATCAGCGAAGACGAGGCACGCCAGCGCTGGGAACTGCACGGACCGGAAGGCGCGGTACGCCGGGTGGACCTGCAGCCGCGCGTGGCCGGTTTCGACTTCCCGCTGCTGCAGAGCATGGTGAAGGACGGCTTCGGCATCACCATGCTGCCGGAAACCGTCTGCGCCGATGCCGTGCGCAATGGCGAGCTGGAAGTGGTGCTGCCGGACTGGTCGCTGCCGCAGGGTGTGTGCCACGCCGTGTTCGCCTCGCGCCGCGGCCTGCTGCCGGCGGTGCGCGTGTTCATCGACTTCCTGGCCGAGCACCTGCCGCCGCAGCTGGAGGCCTCGCGCCTGGATTGCGGTGGCGCCTGCGAGAAGGCCAAGGAGCGCATCAAGGCCAGTGCGCTGGGTGCGTTGGCGGTGGATGCGGGCTGAGGCCTTCCTCGGCGGCAACGCCGATCCGTGAAACGGTAGCGCCGGGCCATGCCCGGCGTTTTCGGTTTCCGGCGCCGATCACTTCCGCCCGAACAACCGGTCCCAGAAGCTGCGGCGCGGTTGTGCCGACGCTGCGGGCTCGGCAATGACCGGTGCTTCCAGCACCGCCATCAGTTCCGCGCTGCGTGGCTTCTTCAGGAAGCGCGCGTAGTCCAGATAGCCGGTCACCTTGCTCATGTGCAGGTGCTCGGGCATCGCAGGCAGTGCGCCGCCCTGCAGCAGCACCCGCAACGCCTGCGGGCGATCCAGGCGGATCGCTTCGAACAGTGCGGTGCCGCCGCATCCGGGTTCGATCTGGTTGGCGCGCTGTGGCGCATCCTTCAGCAGGTCTCGCAGCACATCTGTGTCATTACGCTCTACGGCGGCCACCAGCCGCGCCAGCGCCTCGGCTTCTTCCGGAGGCAGGCTGTCGCGGTAGGTCTGGTCGGCGATCTCGCGCTCATCACGTCCGTCACCGCCCTGGATGCACAGGAAATCGGTGACCAGGGCTGCAGGGATTCCAGCCGTATCCAGCGCCCAGTAGCTGGGATACACGCCGTCGCCCCAGCCGCTGGTGAATACGACCAGCCCATGCGGCGAGTCCTCACCCCAGGGACGGTACTCGGCGCCTTCATCCAGGCCCTCGTGGTCGATCAGCGCATCAGACCATTCGCTGTTCTCGTCGCCATCGGCCTGTTCGATCAGGGCCAGCAGTGCCTGCTGGGTATCGGTGTCCATGAAGCAGCCAATGCCGGCGTCGACCGGGTAGCCGATGAAGCTGTCCTCATCCAGGCCGGCGAGGTCCTGTGTGGTCCAGCGCGCCATCTGCCAATGCAATGCGGAAGCGCTCAGCGCCGCACGCGGCTTGAACCAGGCCACGGCCAGCGCCGGGCGGCCGCTATGCACGATGATCTCGACCGGATGCCGGCCCAGCGGGGCGGTGTAGTCGGCCAGCGCAGGCGCCTCGGCCTGGACCAGCGGATCGCAGACCACCAGCTGCCCGCTGCTGACCGGCAGATGGCCGGCGAACGTGCGGTGCAGAGCAACTGCGGCCAGCTGGGCATCGTCCAGCAGGCAGGTGCGCAGGTTGGCCAGGTCGAGGTGGGCCATGGGGGCTCCGATTGCAGTGAAGACCCCACCGTGCCGGATGCGAAGGGCAGGGGCAAGGGTGGTCTTGGGCAAATGCTCTTCACGTGCGAGAATACGCCGCTGCCCGGGCGACCGGGACCCGATTGGAGAGATGGCCGAGCGGTTTAAGGCACCGGTCTTGAAAACCGGCGAAGGGTTAAACCTTCCGTGGGTTCGAATCCCACTCTCTCCGCCAAGATGTTCAGAAGAGCCCCTGCACGCAGGGGCTCTTTTTGTTTTTCTGGGCGGTGCGGGACGGACACCTTTGAGCGGATTCCGTCAGTTGGGGGCTCGTGTCATCGGTCTTACGCCGGTTGTGCCGGATACTGCTGTGCAAACCTGAGCGGTGGTTCTCATTCGGTTCCGCCCAGATTTGTTGCCATTGGTGTCAGTTGACGCTTATGGGCAATGTCACTGGGGCGAAGATCGTGTAGCTTCTCTTCGATGTTGTTTGTCCCGTTCTGCGATCGGAAGTCGCAATTGAGAGCGGGTGGCGGACTGCAGTAGATGGGGCGGGGAGCTCAACGCGATTTATTCAATTGACTTCATAACGTGCGCTGCCTCTGTGCGGCCTGCGCAAGATGCTGCAGCCGAAGAAGACTGATCGACAAATTCATGGAGGAAGTGTAGTGCTGGATATCGAGCGAAAGATGGATCAACGCATGCGGTCATGGTGCCACAACAGGAATTTGGGCACGCTCCCGCGCTGGATATTGATTTTTTTCTTCTTGGGATTTGGATTTGCTGCGGCACCTTTAGCATCGGCCCAAGCAGGGATGCAGGCGGCGATGACTTCGTGTGAAAACGCCCGCCCTCACTACACAAAGCCAAATTACTGTGCATTTGGCTATGGAGTCAGCGTGATAGGGAATGCTCCGGGGCCGGCCGCTTTCCTGCGTCCTGGAGGTAAACCCACGCATCACTACGCGTCTTGGGGCTTTGGCTGCCCCGCTGGTGAAAAATGGAGCAGGCGCGCAGGGCGATGCGTTCCAAAAGATGGCCCACCCGAATATCCCCTTCCCGATCTCGAGGATCCTGAAACCGGCGAGTACGGTTCGCCGAAGTGCGACAGCAATTGCCCGGCAGCGGGTGGAAATGGAAGCAATCCCATTGACAGCGCCACCGGCAATAAGCGCCAGCATGAAGTCGACTTTTTAGGCGCGGGCGTCTTCCCGCTGAGCCTGGAGAGGACATACAACAGTGATCGGGCGCTTGAAGGTGATCCCCTGCCTATGGGGGCGGGCTGGTCGCATACGTACTCAGCACGCCTCTACCCGGTGACGGATGGCAACTATGTGATGTATCGAATCATCGCGAGGCGCGCAAATGGCGCTCGTCAGAGCTTCACTCGGGTTGGCGATGAATGGGTCAGCGACGCGGATGTTGCAGGTAGGATCAATGTTTTCATGAGTGGAGGGGCGCTCAGCTCTTTCACCTATTCGCGCGGCGATGGCGCTGTAGAAACCTATGATCGTGATGGTCTGCTTACCTCGATCACCGATCTTGGCGGTCATCGACAGTTACTGTCCAATGTTCATGCGGACGGTATCAAGCAACTAGGGAGGGTCACTGACCCGGAAGGGCGCAGCCTGGTCTTTTCGTACAAGGATCGAATGATCGAATCGGTCACGCTGCCAACCGGGCGTGTTATCCGGTATGGCTACGCCGATGGGAATCTGGTCAACGTTTCCTATCCGGAATCGTCAGCAGGTGAGTCCGTCCGCCGCTACCACTACAACGAACTGGAGCAGACAACTGGCGTTTCCCAGCCCCACACGTTGACCGGCATCACCGATGAGAGTGGTCAGCGCTACGCGAGCTGGGGCTACGACGGCTATCGGCGAGGTGTGTTGAGCGTCCATGGTGACTATGCAACGGGCACCATCGATCGGACCCAACTGGCGTTCAACGATGATGGTACGACGACGGTCACTGATAGCCTTGGGAAAGTGCGCCACTACGGCTTCAATGTGAAGCATCGTGTCGCTCGGCTCGCGTCGCTTGATGAGCTGTGTCTGGGATGCAGTAACACCGCCAAGGCCAAGACCTATGATGGGAATGGCATGGTGCAGTCATCGGTGGATTTTTCCGGTAACGAGACAACGTTCAGTCACAACGCGCGCCTGCTCGAGGTTCAGCGCATCGAAGCTGCCAACGATGCAACAGGCCTGCGGCGAATCTTGCAGACCGACTGGCATCCCACTCTGAGGGTTCCAGTCGAGCGCCGTATTCTTGATGCAGCGAACGTATTGGTATCCAGATCCACCTGGACCTATAACGCACGGGGGCAAGAGCTCGCCGCCACGCAGATCGATCCTGCGACGGGCGAGACGCGAACCACAACGAGCACGTATTGCGAAGCGGCCGACGTGGCGGCAGGGCGGTGTCCATTGCTTGGGCTGCTCACCCAGGTCGACGGACCCCGATCGGATGTCACTGACACGACCTCCTATGTCTACTATCCCAGCAGCGATGCAGGGTGCGCCACGGGCTCGGGCTCATGTCTTTACAGGAAAGGCGATCTGTGGAAAGTCGTCAACGCAGCGGGTCACATCTCCGAGGTGCTCGCCTATGACGGGGCCGGGCGGCCGACATCTGTCAAAGATCCCAATGGCATCGTTACCGAGATTGCTTACCATCCACGTGGCCGGCCAACCATTGTCAGATTTGATTCCGCGTCCGGTGCAGTCGCACGCACGACCCGCCTCGACTACTGGCCTACAGGGCTCGTCAGGCGGGTAACGCAGCCAGATGGATCCTATGTTTCCTATTCCTACGACGTAGCTCACCGATTGACGGCGATTTCCGATAGCCAAGGAAACTCCATCACGTTCGTTCTGGACAATGCGGGGAATCGAGTTGCGGAAGAGACGAGGGACGTCAATGGTGTCCTGAAGCGAACGCTCAGCCGGATCTACAACCAGTTTGGGCAATTGACTACGGAGGCCGATGCCGAGGCCAATCCCACCGACTTCTCGTACGATGCCAACGGCAACATCGCTTCCAGGACCGATGCCCTTGGTCGCAGGAGTCGGCAGCAATACGATCCATTGAATCGCCTTGTGCTGTCCCTTCAGGACGTTGGCGGTCTGGATGTGGAAGCCCGTACGCATTACAACGCCATGGACCAGGTGACCCGGGTAACTGATCCCAAGGGGCTGTCTACAACCTATTCCTACAACGGCTTTGGCGATCTGACTGGGCAAGTCAGTCCAGACAGCGGTGCGAGCCAGTACACGGTTGACTCCGGCGGCAACCGTCGGACGTTCACCGATGCTCGCGGCATCACCGCTTCGTATCAGTACGACGCGCTCGATCGTGTGACCGGTATTGTCTATCCGGACGCCAGTCTGAATATGAGCTACAGCTACGATCTGGTGCCGGCGTCCTGTGCTGCGGACGAACGTTTCGGCAAGGGGCGGCTCGGACAGGTTCAACATACCGGTGGCAGCACGTTGTACTGCTATGACCGCCTCGGTCAGGTGACCCGCAAAGTGCAGACGGTCAACGGCGTAACCCGGGCCGTACGATATATCTACAACCCGTCTGGCCAGTTGGTGACGCTGATGCAGCCGGACGGCAGCGTGGTCGATTACGTGCGCGATGGCTTCGGTCGCGTAAACCAGATCGGCCTGACCCGGCCAGATCAGACGAGACAGATCGTAGTCAAGGATGTGAAGTATGCCGCTTTCGGTCCGGCCACCGGTTGGACGTATGGCAACGGCCGACAGCTTGATCGACCACTGGATCTCGATTACCGCCCGCGAGCGGTGAATGATCCGAACGCTGGAGGCCTTTCCCAGAGTTACGGCTACGATCCTCTTGGCTCCATCGTGTCGCTGAAGAATGGCAGTGGTTCGGAGACAATGGGGCAGTATGCCTATGACGCCTTGGGGCGACTGACCCAGACGCAGGACGGTGCCACCGGGACGCCCATCGAGACCTACGCGTATGACTCCACGGGCAACCGCACTTCGCTGACAGCTGCTGGCGTCACATCGCTTTACACCTACCCGGCAACGAGTCATCGCTTGATGGCCGTCGACGATGACATACGTGACCATGACGCTGCTGGCAATACCGTTAGCGCGAGAGGCAAATCATTCACCTACAACGATGCGAACCGACTGGTTGCTTTGACGCAGGATGGGAGTGTGGTCGAACGCTATGGCTACAACCATCGCGGAGAACGCATTCTTCGCAGTCCATCGAACAGTGATGCGCGGATCACGCTGTATGACGAAGCTGGGCGGTGGCTGGGGGATCATCTGGCATCGGGCCCGTCGCAGCAGGCGATCTGGCTGGATGACTATCCGGTGGCTTTGGTCAGTGCTTCGGGTGCTGGTACTCAGGAGCTGCTCTACATCCAGCCTGATCATCTCGGAACCCCTCGCGTTGTGATCGATCCCGCTCGCAACGTGACGATATGGGAATGGAGTAGCAAGAGCGAAGTGTTCGGCAATCAGGCGCCGAACACGGATCCCGACGGTGACGGCGTGGCCTTTGACCTGCCGCTTCGCTTCCCGGGGCAGCAGGCGACGGATGCAACTGGGGCTTTTTACAACTATCGGCGGGAATACGATCCATTCGCGGGCCGATACACGCAAAGTGATCCGATTGGTCTGGGGGGTGGCATCAGTACATATGGCTATGCTGACGGGGATCCTCTTTCTCTGACTGATCCTTTCGGTCTGCAGGCAGTGAGGCCGCCCAGCTTCTCCCGCCCGGGTGGAGGAAATGCGGCGCAGAGGCGAACGGCATCGCGGGCACATCTGAACGCATTGCAGTCAAATTCGCATACATCTCCAATTTATTCTCGCGGACTCTCTCCGGAGGAGGTTGCCTCCACCGAAAATGCTGCGAGTCTTGTGAATGAGTTCGATTACACACAATACTGCTCGATTGAGATATGCAGGAAATCCGCCGACGAATGCACATCGGGTGACGTCATGAAGGGTGGGTTTCCAAGCGATCCCACAGTGGCTCAGGTCAATGCTCGAGGTTGCATATGTGCGAGGACCTACTACAGGAACTCACCAGAGCCCTATTCCCCGAAACCTCCGAAGGATTGGGACAATTGGGCGCGAGCACTCATTGATGCTCTTATTCATCGTGGTTCTAGAAGGTAATTATGCTCATCAGAATATTCGGAGTTCTGGTCGGTCTTTTGATCATCCTTTATGGCTTGGCCGT